ATGCCGCGAGCTAATTTCAGTCACATGAAAACTACACTATTATTGTAATTTACTGAATTAATAGGGTATTTTCTGTGCCGACCTATCTCCTCTTAGACAAATAGTTGAGTTTTCAAGTAACTAGTCTATTTATTATTTTGTTTTTCTCCTCCCAAAGAACGTACTATAAACCAGAGATAATCAAAGACAATGGTCACTTGTTACATCTTGTGGTTAAACAGGAAATGTGTATTATAGAGACGTCATTAATTTGATTCGACAGCTGTCAATCAGTTTGATCAGGTGAATGTATAATCTTTTGATCATGGTATTGGATTAAAATTAAAGATATTAAAAAATTTTCCTCGTGGTACAACATTGGCATCACGTGGTCGATTTGAAATGTACGGATAACATAACAGACGCTACGAAGGCGATTAAAAAATCACAACTACCTCGGTCTACTGGGAAGAGCAGAAGAGGTTGCACCATATTTTTTTTGAGGTTTAAGTGCTTGCTCGATATTATTTGGGGGATTTACGCAACCCCCATCAACTATCTAATGGTCCGTCCCTAATTGGGTAGCATATCATATCGAACAGTAAAAAACAGGGTAAACCACAAGGTAAAGGAAGAAAAACGCGACTTTTATGTCAATAACCTTGAGGAATGTACAGGGAACTCTAAAAGAACTTGGAAAATTATAAACAGTTTGTTAAATCGAAAAACGAAAAATACTGTAATAACAAAGCTTAAGATTCGTGGGACCAAACAAACCTCCTATTATAATTTATTATAATTTATATAAGTTATTTAACAAAAACTTTGTCTCGGTTGGACCAAAATTAGCTGCGTCCTTTCCGACTACGCCACTAGAAATTCAATCTTTCACGTCCTAAAATTTGTCTTTAAACCAGTTAATAAGGAATATATAATTTCTCTGATTAACAAACTGCCTCTTAACAAGGCGTCGGGTCTTGACGGAATTCCCACTTGTATTATTAAGATCTCTGCTCCTTTGATAGCCACCTCTCTTATGGAGATATTTTTAAAATGCATCAATTAGAGAGGGATGATCTTGAAACAAGACGCTTCAGGCGGAAGGTGACAACTATGCATAAGATCATAAATTGTGGAATGCTAAAGTACTCGTGTAACCTATTCCCCTCTATTAACTATGCCTATTCAAAAATGTCTCCGGAGTTCATGACTATGGTCTTCGTGGTTGTCACTCAAATTTATTATTACCACTTCCTAGGACAAACTTTTTAAAAATCGCTTTAAATATAGTGGAGCAGTTGCCTGGAATTCTCTGCCATTAAAGGTACGAGAATCAATAAAAGTCTTCCTGTCAGTTTTAAAAGTATTTTATTAGTAAATTCTTAATTTAGTATTTGTTTGTACATATATATTTCTTATCTTCTCTACCTTTGTCTTGTATGACAAGGCTCTCAGGAAGAGCATTTATAGATATAGATGATGTAATTCCGTGTATAAATAAAGTTTATTATTAGTATTCCAGCTGTTTATCTTGTCTCTGACTGGGACCGCCGGTGCTTTCCATTACATGTATGGAGAAATGCAGGACTTCGAGAGAGTTTGGGTTGTTTTGGCACGTCTCTCCTATTTTTCTCTTGCAGTTGCTGTCTCAGGGCAATTATCGTCTCGTCTTTCTCCTGAAGTCTTTCTGTGAGGTTAGCATTCTTCTCTTTTAGCTGGTTGTTTTCTTGCTTCAAAGCTGCCACGTTCGCTTCAAGCATCTGCTGATGATCGATCTTGCCCTGCAGTTCGAGTTTAAAAGTCTCCATCTCTGGATACGAGAATAAGATAAGAAGTAGTTTAGCCCCTAATTTAATTACCCCATTCACACCTAAACGGGATAAGTTAAACTACGTTTTCATTAGGAAAAAAATTGAGAAACAGAAATATTGTCACAGCAAGACAAAGGATAGTTTACATGCATTATTTCACCAAATATTGTGCAGTGTTCGTAGATAGTTTTCCAAACCTGCTTAGTTAAACAGCTTTTAAACATATTTAAGCCTTGGTGTGAATGGGATATTATAGCCTTTTTGTATTCAGCAAGGGACTGGTATAGAATAAGATCCTTCTGACAAGCAAGCAAGCAAGCGAGCAAGCAACCAACCCACCAACAAACGAATGATTGAATGAACAATGAAATGGGCGAATGAACGAATGAAAAAATTAAAATAGTTTTTGTTCGTCTTACCTCGTTCACCCCATGTAACTATTTCCAGTAGTTCATTCCCCAAAAACCCTTGGACTCTAGATAGTAGCAGCGCCTTGATCAGCATTTTCAAGCCATCCTTTCTCTTCATTATTATGACTAATAAAGTTTCAGCCTTTTCTTTGGAGGTACCTAATGCGTATATTTTTTCTTTATCATGATCGCTCAACGCACCCTCTTGATACAGGTAGCCCAAAAGGTTKTGTRCTTCCAWGGTCTCGAGAAGTCGAACGTAATTTTTCTGAATTATTTTATTGTCTTGTTCGTTCATCACATCCATCTTCGTACATCAGAAAGCAGCCAAACTAATAAAAGAAACGTGTGCTTTTAAGGACGTTCACAAGCATTGTTTGCGCGCATCCTCTCTACGCAGGCACCGCGGAAGTACGCTTGCGATCGCCCTATCGTACTGGTCAGCGGCGTCTCAAAACAACTCACAAAATGGCGGACTAGGAAAGAAGACGCGTATACCGCTGACCATAATGATCGAGCTCTTTTTTATTTCGTTTTTGGGAAGTACTTGGTAATACCTAACGTTCGAGGAAGAATAAAAAGAATTTGACGATGGAGTCAAATCGAAATTAAATATTTTGTGCATAATTGAAAGGTTCCAAGTTAATAATGTTTCAAATCTCAACACAGGAAACCCAGAGTACTTTATTGATTTATTTGTTCAACTACAGCCGGGCTCGCCGGGCTCCCTGTGTCTCAGCCGGTGTGTCTGAGTCCATTGGCCATCCGTTGGTCTCGTGACCCATCTCCATAGAAAGTTAGGAAAATAATGAACGAATACTCAAAATACAAGGATAAAGAGGCAATGCGTACTAGTAAAAGCTAATCAGAACTTAAATATATTTTTTGTCTTTAAAAAAATCGAGTATTAATGTAGACGACAACTATTTGATTTCCTAATTAGCGTAGGTTATTAATATTCATAAGTTGAAATTATGGGATGTAAGCCGGGACAGGCAGCAAGACGATCGTAATACGTACACCATATGGTATGTCAAGATTATATTTGATTTTCCGTAAGATATAGGCTTTTAAT